CAAGAAATTTTGGAAAAAAAAAAAAAAAAAAAAAAAAAAAATCTTACAGAATTAAAGAGTATATTTTTGTGAAGGTAATGAGACAAATTTTTTTTTTTTCTGATCAGTACTTACCGAGACACAGCGGCGGGAAGTTGACCCAAAATGAAGGGGTGGCAGCAACATCATGACTTCTGCAAAATCCCATTTTTTTATTTTACGTTTTTTATACTTTTTTTTCTTTTCTAATTTTTTTCTTTTTCTAATAACATTTGTGGCCTGTGAGACCAGTATAATGTATATTGCATAAGTGTACACTCATTGTATTCAACACAATAACTGCACTAATTTGTTTATCATTATATTGCTTACAAAACTTGTTTACAAGTTTATTGTAAACAAAATTATGAAAATATTAGTGCCGTTATTGTGTTGTATACAACGGTACCATTTAGTACCATATGGTACAATGGTGCTATAGGGTGCAATGGTACCATATGGTACAATGACACCATATGATACAATGGTACCATATGGTACAATGGCACCATATGATACAATGGTACCATATGGTACAATGGCACATGATACAATGGTACCATATGATACAATGGTACCATATGGTACAATGGCACCATTTGGTACAATGGTACCATATGATACAATGGTACCATATGGTGCAATGGTACCTTATGGTACCATATGGTGTAATGGTACCATATGGTACCATATGGTAAATTGTACCATACAGTACAATGATACCATATGGTTCATTGTACCATATGGTACTGTTGTATTCAACACAATAAACACACTAATATTTTCATTATTTTGTTTACAATAGTTGTTTACAACAAAAATATGCAAAAATGTTATATATTAGTAATGTTCTATTATATATTTACAAGTGTACAGGAACTTGACCCGTTCCTTGAGGTGGATGACAAAGCACTTTGTCTCGGAAATATTGAGTCACTTGCCAGCTTGCGTTCACTCAGTCTTGGCTGGAGTCTCATGCCACCAACACCTATATATGGTACACGGTATCATATGTTACAGGGTACCATATGGTACATTGTACTATATGGTATAGGGTACCATGCAGTACAGGATAACATATGATGCAGGGTACCATATGGTGCAGGGTACCATATGGCGCAGGGTACCATATGGTACAGAGTACCATACAGTACAGGACACCATATGGTACAGATACAAGGATAACTATGGAAATAAGTCACCCTGAGTTTTTTGGGTTATCCTAGGATTTTATACGTATGCTGCTATGTATGATAATCTATGTAATTGTATTTCTGTACACCTGAATATACTCAAGTGCATGTGCCATCATAAGTAAGTTTATTTAGTTATACACAAATAAAGTTACATAGAATATCATACTTAGCAGCATATGTTTGGAGAACCTAGGATAACCCAAAAAAGTCAGACAGACTTATTTCCATTAGGGTCCCTGTACCCTGTACCATATGGTATAATGTGCCATATGGTACATTGTACCATATACCATTGTATGACATGGCACCATTATACCATATGGTACCATTGTACCATATGGCACAATGGTACCATATGGTTCAAAACCATAGAATTCGTCTTCATCTCCACTTCCATCAGTCTTAGAACTGTAAGTTGTGAAGAGGAGAGTCAGAATTCACCCAGAGAGTGAGTGGGGAGTGAGAGCTTCCTTGCCGCCAGGCACAATGAACAAAGCTACTTTGGCGGTGTTCCCATAATGCCATGCGGGCATCCAGATATTTTCTATGGTGTGCACACTGACCACCCAGACCCATTCTCTCAGATGTAGGCCTACCAGCCTTCTTGCGCTAAATTTGACACCGCTAGAATTTGGCGTAGATCTACGGTTTGGACCCTGAACATAAAGCCGTAGATCTATGGGACGGACCCTGAAAGGGTTAATAAAGAAAAGGGTTAAGTAAATGCAATGATATAATTTGATATTATGAATTGGGAGTGGACAAAAATACTTTGGAAATTCCTAAGTGCCTAAAAGACATCCTTACTTTCCCCATAAAAGCTTATAAACAATATGCACACGCTGTACAAGTAGTTTTCCATGGATGCACCATGTATGCAAATTGAGCACATTACCCTTGCTAACACTACCTCTGTTATACTCTCCACCCTTGCTAGTCTCTGATCAAGCATATTAAACCTTTAGCACGCCCCACCCTGCAGCGCTGCACGACCCTTGTGGGCTTAGTGCTTAATTATAATAATACAGTGGACCCTCGACCAATGATGGCATCGTCTAACGTTAAATCCGACTGGCGATACATTTTAACGCAAAAATTTTGCCTCGACTAGCGCTAAAAAACTCGACCAACACGATTCGTTCCTTCTGAGACATGTCCACTTGTGGCCAGTGTTTACAAGCCAGCCAGCCACCGCGGTCCCATCCAAACATACAATCGGAACATTTCATATTATCACAGCATTTTTAGTGATAGCACCTGCAAAATAAGTCACCATGGGCCCCAAGAAAGCTTCTAGTGCCAACCCTACAGCAAAAAGGGTGAGAATTACTATGGATATGAAGAAAGAGATCATTGCTAAGTATGAAAGTGGAATGTGTCTGAGCTGGCCAGGTTGTACACAAAATCCCAATCAACCATCGCTACTGTTGTGGCCAAGAAAACGGCAATCAAGGAAACTGTTCTTGCCAAAGGTGCAACTATGTTTTCGAAACTGAGATTGCAAGTGATAGAAGGTGTTGAGAGACTGTTATTGGTGTGGATAAACGAAAAACAGATAACAGGAGATAGCATCTCTCAAGCGATCATATGTGAAAAGGCTAGGAAGTTGCATGAGGATTTAATTAGAAAAATGCCTGCAACTAGTGGTGATGCAAGTGAATTTAAGGCCAGCAAAGGTTGGTTTGAGAGATTTAAGAATCGTAGTGGCATACATAGTGTGATAAGGCATGGCGAGGCTGCCAGTTTGGATCAAAAAGCAGCTGAAAAATATGTGCAGGAATTCAAGGAGTACATAGACAGTGAAGAATTGAAACCTGAACAAGTGTTTAATTGTGACACTGACAATGTTGTGAAACACTTTAGGAATGTCATAAAGGAATGGGAGGTACAGGCCTCTATGGACAGATATGTTGTGCGACAGAGGTCCAGTGACTCTCAAGCTGGTCCTAGTGGCATTAAAAGAAGAAGGGAAGTAACCCCAGAAAAGGACTTGATACCTCAAGTCCTAATGGAAGGGGATTCCCCTTCTAAACACTAACACCATCCACAGTCTCCCCTCCTCCCATCCCATCAATCATCACCAGATCTTCAATAAAGGTAAGTGTCATGTAATTGTACATGTCTTCTTCAGTTTGTGTGTATTAAAATTAATATTTCATGTGGTAAAAATTTTTTTTTTCAATACTTTTGGGTGTCTTGCATGGGTTAATTTGATTTCCATTATTTCTTATGGGGAAAATTAACTCGACTAACGATAATTTCGATTAACGATGAGTTCTCAGGAACGGATTAATATCGTTGGTCGAGGGTCCACTGTAATGTAAATCGAGAGCCTACTGTATACATGAATATTCAACACTGGATACGTACATCACCATATGTGATCAATTCACTCCTCGAGGAATGGGATAATGTAAGGCTGATAATTAAAATACTGAATGGCATGACTTACTGGCTTAGCACTTCCTCATGAATAGAGTAACAACACACAAAACACCAATGAACAGAATCAGGCAGACTTTCAGTATCCCACTATTCTTGCAAAAGCCGTTCTCCAAAAATAGATTAATGCATGACTTTATAAAGCCAAGCCCCAACTATTATCACCAATTGTTCCAACATTTCTACTTACCTGTGACCCTAGTGGGTTTAGCACTTGGTTTTGATAATCTACTTACCTGCTGTATAGATACAAAAAATCATGTTCAATGTTCCTTTGCAGGGCTTCAAAAAACTCATTTAAATGAAAAAGTGTTCCATAAAGACGATACTAACTGGACCTCTGCCAAAACTATCTTACTGAATCAGACCATGTACACAACACTCCTAACAAATCATAGTCCTTGGCTTTGTTTCTGTTGATGTTTGCCTTCTCAATGCTGTATATTGTTAACCCTTAAACTGTCCAAACGTAGATCTACGTTGACGTGTATGGCACTCCGACCTTTATTTTCTCCATTTGAAAGCACGTAAAATTGGACGTAGATCTACGTTTGGAGCACTACGCACATCAATGTAGATCTTCGTTTGTACAGTCTAAGGGTTAAATGCTTAGATAATTTTCATAACACTAATAACTTGACTTAACCTTGACTCATAGCTTCTTGGCATCTTAGCTTTTTTCTTTATGTGCCTTTTGGATTTTTTTCACATTCCCTATCTTCTTTTTCCTCTCATGCTTCTTCATTCTGGCCTAGCATGGGTCAGGAGGCCTTGTGCTCCTCCTCTATTTTATGTGCCTTTTGCAAGTCCCTATGCAGATATGTGATGGTAGCGGGGAGAATTACCCAAATGCCCCATTTTCTGGAGATGTAATTTATCTCAATTTACTTACTACTGCTACTTGACTCCTGATCTATTTTCTGGTACAGTATATTTCTTACCTGACTTGTCTTTTAACTTTAACCTCACTCATACTGCTGGTTTTCTCCCTAATTTCTTAGTGTGACCTGATTATGGTCCAAGTCTGACCAAAATGTCACCTAAAATTTCCATTCCAAAGTCTGTGTTATTTGTGAGGTGTCAATGTTTTATGTGTGGTATTCTACTGGCAAGTTACCTGACAACGTGTAAAAGCAAGAAAATACTGTACACAAATATATTACACAAGTGTGACCCATATAGATTTCCCTTACGGTTGTGAATCAAAAATTACAATAAAAAAAGGTATACTCTTACCTGGTCGCTGCAGAAGAGGCTTCCCTATGAACTTTAGTGAAACTACCAGCACCTTGAATTTGGCACCACACCCATCACTCTGGTCCTCCACAGCCTATTGATGATGTTAAAAAAAAGATATTCTTGGATACTGCCATCTTTTTTTAAAAGGTACCTGATACCATATGCAAAATATTAGCTAGAGAATCAGAATTATCAGACTGTGTGAAAAGGCTGAAACCTCATCTTCAAAATTGCCTATACAGTGGTACCCAGAGTTTCAGCCATAATTCGTTCCAGAAGGCTGTTCGAGTGCCATTACCGAACGAATCTGTTCCCATGAGGAATAATGTAAATTAGGATAGTTCATTTCAGACCCCCAAAAATACACTTACAAAAGCACTTACAATAATACACTCACATAATTGTTTGAGTTGGGAGCTGTACAAAACTTGGGGTACCACTGTGTATTGTTAACTACTTCATACCTTCCATCATAATACATGCTTAAATGTTACAGTATATGGAGTGTAACAAATACTATTGTATTTGTATATTGCTGCATATATTCCTTAGAAGTAACACTTATTTTGCCACAGGAAAGAAAACCATTATGATACCTTAATTCAACTAAAAGTATTTTATAAGTATGTCAACAGACATCTGTAATGTAGATCATTCTCTTTTCTATAACAGCCACACCACTTGCTTGGTCATATGAACTGCATACTGTAATTGCCTTTTTACAAAATGTATATGAAGTCCAAAACACATCAGTATCTACTTTAAGAAGAACCAACCAATTATAATATTTACAAATCACTGAATGGGTGGTGCTCAAACTCATGGCAGGCAAATCATAAAACCCAGCATTATTTCATGAGTTATATTTACCTTAAACTAACAAGCATGGAATCCTTAAAATAAATATAAGTACAAATTTGTCTCATTTGTTAAACCAAAAATGGAATGTATGTTCTACAGTAACCTACTTAACTAATCCCAATTAACAGACAATTATTTATTAGTATCAGCATAGTAAATTGATCCTTCTCAAGTACGTATAGTATACTGTACTAGATATAGTAATTTACATCATGAGTGTAACAGACCATCTTCACAACTTTCAAAATAAAAACTTGATTGCTGTGATTAGAATTATTCTAATGCCTATATATTCTCTCCTGATCACCACTTAAATTGTACACCAAAAGCTGTAAATTAGTTGTACAATATAACAATAACATGTCCAAAATGAAGGAGCACCTTGGTTAATACATTATTTTAATGATGTTTGATTATAAAACAAGTAATTATTTAATATATCATAATATTTAGCACCTGCCTGATTTGCTTAATGCAGCTCAATCAATTTGTTGTTAATCCTGTCAGGACTAGCCGGCAAGATGCAAATAGTGTGCCAACTATGTAATTTGTACCCACAGTAAAAGATAGTTGACGGCCAACCCAATTTAAAGTGAATTTCCAAAGGCCAAGTATTTAATGTAGCTAAAACTGGGATGGCTATGGGAGAGGAGGCCTATGGACAGAAACAGCTTGACACCTCATAAACTGCATTAGACAAAGGTTTCAAAGAATATGGTATTAGGTTATTCTAAAGTGATTCTTAATACTATCCAATCCAATTGCAGTATTTACAGATTACCGCATCTTAAGTTTAAATGATGAGTGTTTATATTTCATAGTAAACTGGCAGAAATGAAAGTAAAGACAGAAGAAACAATAATGAACACATGAATAGATAGACAAAAGTACTGGGAAGAGATCTGGGAACCTGAGTGGTGGATTCAATGTCAAGGAGATAACAGTCAAAAAACAAAAGCCAGCCAGGGAGAATCGGAAGCTCATTGTCATCCAAAACCAAAGGGGATTCTTTGTTGACAGTTTTGAGTGTGAAGGACTGGTTGAATTTTGTACAGAATGAAATATTACATACATAAGCACTGTCAAGGCAATCAGTGGAACTGTTAAACCATCCTTTACCAAGAGAGGCAACATACTAAAAACAGAAACAATGAGAAACCAAGTCACCATAAAAGATTCTTCGCTAAAAATTAAACAAGCTGGTATTGCTACGAGTAAGATACTCTTTTCATGGACATGATAACTCATCAAAAAGAAAACAAAAGATCCATTAACAGGGAATAGCGCAGGTGCCTCTGGGTGGGATTAATGAAAAGGAGCAAACTTGAGGGAATCATGCACACAACTGTGGAAAGCAGGCATATCATAGCCATATTAATATTGTTAACTAGTTTCTTTAGTTTAACTAAAACTGACAGGGTACACCATAAACTAGCCACTTTGTCTTCAAAAAGACCTCGGTTAATTGGAAATAAACGATGCACCACTTGCAGCAACAGTTTTGTATCACAGAGAAAGGGAGACCAGATGATAGTAAAAGTTAAAATAACTGAAATGCCAATCTTTGATATTTTCACCATAAAGCCTGTTATATTTCCTTGTTTGAAACATATTCCTAGCAAATAAAAAAATATAGGTAAGGCATGATACAATTCCATTTGTTTATAGTTTAGTGCTAAACAAAACAACACTGAGCCCCAACAATCCTGACCCTTTATCAGTGCAGCAACAGCCCCTACAAAAAACCCAAGTGACACATTATTGTACTGAAAATGACCATAATCTATCAGATACAATCCTGGATAAAGCATTAGTGACAAATACTCCATCTTCCCATGTTTTTTTCTTGGAGAAATACTTGAGAGGGCACAAAGAAACACATATGACAGTGGAATGTATATGAAGAGATCTGCTACAAATACAGTATATCTCATAAACAATTTGTGTTCATAACTTTCATAACCCCTCGATGTATGCATCTCAACAAAGTTGGGGTTCAGGTGTTTTGCTACCAGTCCACACAGGTAACTATGATATGCAGTAAGAGGTGGGTAATCCAGACCCCAATATAAAAGATCATTTTCTGTTGAATTCACATACCACTCTTTGACTGGTAAATTAACTGTCACCTCCTGCCAGTGACGTTGGGCTTCATAATCACCAAACATTGGGGGTTTACCAGCTCCTGAGTATGAATGCAGGGATACACACCATCTTAACAGAATGCCAAAGAGAGTGACCAAAACAACATCTCCCATTTTGTTAAGTTTTACATAAACTTTTTTTTTTGATGTTTTGTATCCAGTAAAACTCGTCTTAAAGAAATTTTCAGCTAAAATAATTGCTAGATATAAGTAACAAGTGCAACAAATTACACCTTTCACGTCACTGATGTTTCTACTGCATATAAAATTCAGCTTATAGCCAATATAATCAATTCCAAGACCCACATATAATAATGAATTTACAAACACCCTGTACTCTAAAACCTGTATTTCTCCAAAGTATTTTTTTTAAATAGTTAATCTATGAATATCTTTAATTATTTGTCCAAGATGAATCTACTGAAGCAAGACGAAGAAATGCCATAACAGAATTGTCTGAACAAAGATGTTTGCAGGTTGTTTCTGAGGTCCCTTATCTTCTCAATACTCCCAGTCATCCTAGAAACAGACAAAAACAAAAAAGAAAAATCAATGGGCAATAAGGAAAAATGAAAAAAAGAATGTCAATATATTCTATCATGCACACCACCTGTACACAAACTGCACAGAGGTTAATGAAATCTGAGAAATTTTAGAACCATCTTCAAGGATTCCAATGAAAATAAGCCACACTATATTTGGCTTTCTTGGGTTGACCCTCCAGTGTTAATAATCCATAGAAATTAATCATCTTCCACTTTTGTACCATCCTTGATGACAATGCACCAATAAATAAATAAAAAAGCTAAACCAAACCTTGACTCAATGGTGAAGTATTACTAGATTAAATACAAAGATTTACGAAATGTTAGACTAAACAGGAAGACCGAAGTAGTACTCAATGAATTCTGCAGGTAAGAAGGAAGGTACCACAGAGTGAGGAAAAATCGGTAAAGGAAAAGAAAAACTGTTAGACAGTGATAATAAAATTGAAGAACATAAGAGCAATCCTAAAATGCCCTGGTTACAGACAAACCCAAAAGTTCTAACATTCTGCTGAATATTAGTAATGAAGTACACCACAATACCCCAAAAATGGCAAACTTTTTAAATCAATACCATACAACTGTTGCCTCATTAGTTCAATTAACAGTTGTATCAAGTAAACTTGGATAACTTAAAAGCTTACAACAATAATAAAGGTAGTATTTCCTCAAAATTCCAGTTAATCTAGGCATCTTAATTTGTGCTAAAGAAATTAAAGGTAAACCTTGACAAAAGCTTTGGATTTGATAGCATTCCTGCGCTGTAAAATTCTAAAGGATTGGGTCTCCAAATTAAAAGCACCAGTACTCTGTACAAGAAAAAATTACCTAAAAAAAAAAAAAAAAAAGGTAGGGTATGACGGGATTTTTTTCTACTGCAAGTGTTCCAATTAAGCACGACATGTGCAACAGAATACTTTCTACCTTTGCCTTTTGAATGTCAAACAAGCACACACAACTGACAGGTACCTGAAACTTGAAGTATTATCTTATTTGGTGTGAATGATAGTATTATTATTATTATAATCAAAAAGAAGTGCTAAGCCACAAGGGCTATACAGCGCTGCAGGGTAGGGAAGGAAGTGAGGGTATTGGATGGCAGAAGGGAGGAGGGATGATCAGTAGGTTACAGAAAACAGCGGGGCAGGGGATAGTACGGGGGTAGGGGGTAGCAAGAGATTGAAGTAGAAAGGGCTGAAGGTATCAGAATTTGTGAAGTAAGTCAGTTGTTGTCAAAAAGTCAATGAGAGAGTCTGGATGAAAGGTGGGTCCATCAGCGAGAAGGGAAGGTAAAGAGAGAGCAGCAGAGCGAAGACGACGACGGAGGTAAATTCTGCGTGCTCGGTGATAAAGTGGGCAGTCCAACAGAATGTGGCTGACTGATAATGGAACTTGGCAATTCTCAGAGAGAGGAGCAGGGCGCCTCTCCATGAGATATCCATGAGTAAGACGAGTATGGCCAATGCGAAGACGGGAGAGAGTAGTCTCCCAACCTCGACACTGGTGTGAATGATAGTAACATCCCAAATAATTGAATATTTAAAATGATGAATTATGAAGTTTGTATAATGCAGTACGGCATTTAGTTTTATAGTTGCCATTTACTTTGTACTCCTGTCTATATGTTCTCTTTTATCAATAAAGCCTCTCCTCACTTAACGATGGAGTTCTGTTGCTAAGACCACGTTTGTAAACGAATTCGTCGCTAAGCAAGGAGCATACTATAATGATAGTGGGTTTGTGTCAACCATCTTTGATATTGTTTTAATGTCACCTTTGCACCATTTATAACATTTTTAGCATACGTATAGTGGTACTTCGAGTTTCGAACAGCTCCCAACTCGAACAATTATGCAAGTGTAGTTTTGTAGGTGCTTTTGTAAGTGTATTTTTGGGGGGTCTGAAATGGTTCGGTATCAGCACTCAAACAGCCTTCTGGAAGGAATTAAGTTTGTAACTCGAGGTACCACTGTATTTTTAAATGTTTATATAGCAGTGTACTGTACTGTATATTGTAATAAACAGAATAGAGGAAATCAGCTCTAATATACATTATTTAGGTATGCATACTGGTCAGAGCCCATTGTAAGTCTGAGTCGGTAAATGAGTACGTCCCTAGAGGCTGTATATACATACAAAGTATTTTACTTTAGGACATTTTTGTCTAAAAAAGATACCACAGTACAGTATTTTATTATTAGGTTCAATATTTTGTCATTTTTCAGTGTGGGGGTGACATTTCTGGTACAGATTTACAGTGGACCCCCGCATAGCGAACGCCTTGCATAGCGAACAATCCGCATAGCGAACGCTTTGTTCGCTGAAATTTTGCCCCGCATAGTAGACAAAAACCCGCTCAGCGAACTTCGTCCGAGACGCGTCCAATGTGGGCCCTCAGCCAGCCTCACATGTGCCGCCCGTCCCATTGTTTACCAGCTAGCCTCCGCGGTAACATTCAAGCATACACTCGGAATATTTCGTATTATTACAGTGTTTTCGGTGCTGTTTCTGGAAAATAAGTGACCATGGGCCCCAAGAAAGCTTCTAGTGCCAACCCTGTGGTAAAAGGGTGAGAATTAGTATGGAAATTAAGAAAGATTTTGAAGGGTTTGGGGCTAACCCTGAGAAGCCTATGTCAGTTGTGGAATCCATTGTGCCTACTATCAAAAATTAAGGAAATGTGTGCACAGTGGGTTGAACTGCAAACCTTTATGGATGAAAATCACCCTGACACAGCTGTTGCAAGCCGTGCTGGTGACTATTTCAATGACAATGTTATGGCCCATTTTAGGAAAGTCTTGAAGGAACGGGAGGTACAGAGCTCTATGGACAGATTTGTTGTGCGACAGAGGTCCAGTGACTCTCAAGCTGGTCCTAGTGGCATTAAAAGAAGAAGGGAAGTAACCCCAGAAAAGGACTTGCTACCTCAAGTCCTAATGGAAGGGGATTCCCCTTCTAAACAGTAAGAAGATAATGCTCTCCCCTCCTCCCATCCCATCAATCATCACCAGATCTTCAATAAAAGTAAGTGTCATGTAATTGTGCATGCCTTTTTCAGTTTGTGTGTACTAAAATTAACATTTTTTTGTGGTAAAAAAAAATTTTTTTCATACTTTTGGGTGTCTTGCACGGATTAATTTTATTTCCATTATTTCTTATGGGGAAAATTAATTCGCATAGCGAACATTTCGCATAACGACCAGCCCTCTTGCACGGATTAAGTTCGCTATGCGGGGGTCCACTGTACTTGTAGACATGAAGGTAAATGAATCTTTTGTTAATAGGTCTTTCAAAATGCATGATGGCTCTACAGACTGTAGGCACTCTGTTTCAGGCTCAGGAAAGGCATATCTGGAATGATTTACATGTACATCCGAAGATGGGAAATACATGCCTCATTGGCATTCTATGCACACCGCCACTCACTTTTTTTAGGATTTTTTTTTTTTTTTTTGTAAGTGAAATTTTACATATCAACTGTGGCCCGGTAGGCAACACTCTAGCTTCACACACTGAGTGTCCTTGTTTCAATCCCCAGCATGGGGGAAAACATTAGGCATGTTTCCTTACACCTGCTGTCCCTGCTCACCTAGCAAGCAAGTAGGTACTTGGGTGTTAGTCAACTGGTGTGGGTTACATCCTGGGGGTCAAGATTTAAGGACCCCAATGGAAATAATACAGACAGTTGTCGATGACGTACTGACTTTCTTGGGTTATCCTGGGTGGCTAACGGTCCAGGGTTAAAAATCTGAACAAAATCTTAACTTATCTTCAGTGTCAACAAATATCTCACGTTCATTTATGATTGATTGTTATTATAATCAAGGTGTAGGTGCTAAACCTGTAGGATTATACAGCACCTGTGGGGGGGGGGGAGATGTGGAAGGTATGCAGGCTAATTCAAGGAACTGGAGCACAGATCCAATTCCTTAGATCAAGAGCCCCTCACCAGCATCAAGGAACCTTCCTTGAGGGGCATTTATGTCTGAAAAATATTTCTGCTCCTCTGAAGATTTCATGCACTGCATTAGTGAATTTTCATCACACAAACAATGAACGATGCCTCCAATGCCATCTTGTAACTAAGATCAGATCAGCTAGACTATACATATGATACTCTCATGTACGTAAGATTATCTGCTTTAATCAGTAGCAACATGAAAGACACACGGCCACCACTGATGAGAGATAATGCACCACGAACTTATGGAAGAAATCACCTCATTGGCTAGTTTTGAATGGCTTCCTGAAAAACTCCATTTACTTGCCCATCAGATGTAGTTTTACAAGCTTGCAGGGAAAAGGCTGAAAAAAGTATGAAGACTGATGGGGCCATATCTAGATTTACCTGCTGAACAATAATTAATTTAAAAAGCACCATTCATGAGGTAATAAAAATGTTAGGGGCAGTCCTATTTGGCTATGTAGTCAGGTTACCACACATGCCTTTTTTTTCATTCTAAGCATAAGCAATTATCCATCTCTTCTAATACTGTATATACTGTGCTATGTTGGATGAGCTCAATTTGGCCAGTCATACCCATTTTCAAGCTGTCATAGAATAGATGTCAGCAGCTATGGTTCTGTCAATCTACTGAATGTTATTTTTCAAATGACTAAAGAAGGCAGAACAATATATTCTCAAATTAAAATAACATTTACCAATCAGACCGTGACAGATCATCTTGCTTCAAATCTGTAGAGAATTCATTTAAATCAACAACAAGAACCCCCAATAAGAATCTGTATGATTAGCTGATGCAGACCCAACTAAATGCAAACTTCTTTAATTCCAGTGAGTTTAAGTACTGGAATGAAAAAAATCCAAGAATTTACTGACAATCTCTAACTGATGCTAAAGAAATGTCTAAGTATTGCACATACAGTACACGCTTATATGGTAAAGGGTTATGGCAAATTCCTAGACAAAGTCCAGTAGACCAGTGTTTCTGTAACACAACAGATGACACATGCTTTATTCTAATGTTTTGGAATTGAATTTATTATATAACCATAAACCAAGCCTTTACTACTTGAGGTGAAAACAGTTTACTAATATTAAAACTATTTAAGATACAGGATAGTCTTAGGACAGTGTCCTTGGCCTACTATTCCTCATCTACATCAGTGACCTTCCTAATGCATGTGATGACATTAAACCAATTTGTCTGCAGATGACAACTTTTACCTCCTATTCAGATTTGGTTGTCCTCAACAAGTGTTAATGACAAGTTTGTAAAGATATCTACTTGGAGGGCTAAAAACATATAACTGAATATAAAGGCTACACTCATTATAAAATGTGATAATTTTTTTTAGACTTATACCTGGATGGGAATTTAAAATTCAACACCCATATCCAACACATATCCAAGGTAGTCTCCAAAACAGTGGAGATCCCTGCTAAGATACATTACTGGTACTATATGCCTCAAACAATATAACTTACCCTGTACTACACTTTAATCTATCTTATTTAACCTATGGTATTTTTGCCTCAGGATCTACTACAGCAAATCATTTTAAAGTGAAAAGCAACACTATTTCCACTCTTCAAAAATTTAAACCTACTGTATTCAGCATACCTAATATTCACTCTTACAACTGTGCATACTATATATACAGAGCAATCAGTACTAGTATAAACTCAAATCAAACTCATTCTCGAGCTGCAACACAGCTCAACCTGAGTAAAAATGCAATACACATAAAAGGCAATCAGAATTGATAAAAGAGGACGGGTAGCTTGAATTCCTTGGATCAGAAACCCTTTGCCAGCATCAAGGAACCACTTTCTGTCCTTTTCCCCTATTAATTACAGGATGTGTATTATTATTATTACAATCAAAACCAAGCACTAAATCCACAAGGGCCATACAGACAGAACAGGTATGGGTGCATAGTAAAACTATCAAAGTGAAAGTTCATCTTAGGGTTATAAATGTGTTTCCATGTGAATGCCATCAGCAATGTTGTACTGCATTTGTAATAGTAGTAGTATTTTTTTCAGGGAATGAGGAGGGAAAGTAGATAAATATTTTTCCCACTTAATATTTAAACTGATTAAGAAAAAAAAAAAAAAAAGGTTCACCTGGAAAAACTTCACTATGACAAGGTCCTGGATGCTCTAGGAGACAAACAAAATGCAGATGTAGTATACACAGACTTTGCAAAAGTCATTGACAAGTGTGGCCACGGTGTAATAGCACACAAAATGCATGATAAAGGAATAACAGGAAAAGTTGATAGATGGATCTATAATTTCCTAATAAATAGAACACAAAGAGTAGCAGTAAACAGAGTAGTAGTAAACAGAGTAAAGTCTGGGGCGGCTATGGTGAAAAGCCCTGTTCCACAAGGCACATTACTCTCTCTCATCCTGTTCCTCATCCTCATATCTGACAGACAGGGATGTAAGCCACAGCACCATGTCTTCCTTTGCAGATGACACCCGAATTTGCATGACAGTGTCCTCCAATGAAGACACCACAAGACTCCAGGTGGACATCAACTAAATCCTTAAATGGGCCGCAGAAAACAATATGAAGTTCAATGATGAGAAATTTCAATTACTCCGATATGGAAAAAAACGTGAGGAAATTAAAACTACACATATCGGAGCATACAACTAATTCCAACCACACAACAGAGCAAAAAACTAATGTAAAAGACCTGGGAGTGATTATGTCAGAGGATCTCACCTTCGACTGCATCTGCTAGAAAAATGGCAGGATGGATAATGAGAACCTTCAAAACTAGGGATGCCAAGCCCATGATGCCACTCTTCAGGTAGCTTGTTCTATCTAGGCTGGAATATTGCCACACACTAACAGTACCTTTCAAGACAGGTGAAATTGCTGACCTATAAAATGTAGAGAGAACCTTCACGGCACACACAACTGTGATAAAACACCTCAATTACTGGGAATGCTTGAAGGTCCACAACCTGTACTCCCTAGAATGCAGGTGGGAGATACACGATTATATACACTTGGAAAATCCTAGAGGGATTATTACCAAACTTGCACACGAAAATCACTCCCTATGAAAGCAAAAGACTTGGCAGACAATGAAACATCTGCCCAATGAAAAGCAGGGGCGCCACTAGCATGATAAGAAACAACACATTAAGTGTCAGGGGCCCAAGACTATTCAACTGCCTCCCAGCATACATAAGGGGGATTACCAAAAGACCCCGGCTGTCTTCAAGAAGGCGCTGGATAGGGACCTCAAGTCAGTACCTGACCAGCCGGGCTGTGGTCCGTATGTCGAGTTGCATGCGGCCAACAGTAACAGCCTGGTTGATCAGGCCCTGATGCACCATGAGGCCTGGTCACAGACTGGGCTGCAGGGGTGTTGACCCCCGAAACCCTCTCCAGGTATGGTGGCACCCTAATGACTTCTTTAACTTTATGCAATTAGCCTCAGAAGATTAAAAACCTAGGATAACCCAAGAAAGCCAAACAACATGGCTTATATCACACCGAAGGCCTTAGTCTGTTTCTATAAAGCAATTCACAAAAGCTGGCTAACTGTAAGGTACCTTTAAACGCAGTATTATTATTATTATAATAAAAAAAAGAAGCGCTAAACCACAAGAGCCATACAGCTTTAAACGCAGTAGCAGTGTCTGTCTCGTGACACAGCAAAGCAGGAATCATGGTCATTTCTAGTAACACCTGGTCACCCAACAGTAGATAAATTATTTATTATTATTACAATCCAAACTAAGCACTAAATCCACAAGGGCCACAGCTGATATATACCTAGGATTTAGTAGATTCTATGTCAATAAAGACACAGATCAAGACAACTATAGGTCTTCAACTGTTCATGAGTGTATTTTTAATGCAACTGTCAGTTCTACAGTACCTGTTCCCCAGCCAGTTAGTAGACTGTGGTGTGTTGCATCCTGAGAAAATGGACTTAAGGACCCCAACAGAAATAGGCAAGGTAGCTGACTTTCTTGGGTTACCTTCTATTACTGTATTTACTCTCCCAGGGTTAACAATCTGAAACAAATCCTTTAAGGACCCCAATAGAAATAAGTCACTGACTTTTTGGATTATCTAGGTAATTTACACTATTATGATAATTATTGTTAGGTGTACCTGTACGTAAATAAACCTATTTTATTTATTGCTATTTATAATGACGCCCATGACTACTTGAACTTGTGAAACACACAAACACACACACATATATATTACCATTTTTTTTAATTTATCTGAGTAGAAGGACCTCAATGGAAATAAGTCACTTTGACTTTTAGGGTTATCCTACACATATGCTGCTAATGTATGATAATTTATATAACTGTACTTATGTGTACCTGTAAATTAAGTGTACCTGTACCTGAATAAACTTACTTAACATACCTGAATAGTTTTCCCTACTGCAGCCGAGTGTAACATAAGTGAACTCAAGAGGAAGATTTTTATGCACTTACAACATGAGTGGCGTCGAGTTCCTTGGTGAGTTTCTCTTTAATATAGTGATCAGTGTAGGTCGTCATAACTGAGGTAGATGGTATGGTCGATGTGGCAGTGTAAGTCCTACTGGACTCCTCTTGTAACAGTCTTAATAACCTTAAAACTTGATCATCACAACTGCACTTGTTCTTGTAGCAGTTATTAAGGGCTACTCTACCTTAAACTGTGTTACGTTCCCCAGGTCGAGATAATTATCATAAAAGAGTTGAACCGATCCGGATAGAAAACATTTCCCTAATTTTGAAGGAAAATGAATAAGTAGCAAACGTTTCCCAATAGTTAAAGTAACATTCACCACTCAAAACAGCGAGACATTCCTCACTCACCTGAGTCAATGACCGGCTTTCATTATGTTCCACGAACAAAAAAATATTAAAAAAAAATATACATAAAAACAATAGATACTTGAAAAGCCCAAAGTAAGCACATTATTATTATAATCAAAACAGCGGTAAATCACCAGGGTCATACAGCGCTGATAGTATGCACAGCATTTTAATTACGAGGAAGTGCTATATATTACTTTATTACCTTTATAATTTGTTCACGATTGTAACCATGTATAAACCTATAGATGATTCATTACCTTTGTACCTTGTTCAGTTATCAAAACTTTGGAGTCCAGTCCCTGGACCCATTATGTACCTCTCTAATCCTTTGACTTATGCCCACATTATTATTATAATCAAAAAGAAGCACTAAGCCACAAGGGCTATACAGCACTAATGCCCACAGGATGGGTATGGGGTGCATAATAAACTAAACTATGATTATAACCAGGGGAAAGAACAAGCTCGTAAATACAGCACATAGGGAATAGACTGCAAATAAGGTTCAATCCAAGGAATGGGAGGATAGGTCCATTTCCTTGGGTCAGGAGTCCCTCACTAGCATCTCTTATTATTATTATTATTATTATTATAATCAAGGGGGAAGCGCTAAACCCAGAGGATTATACAGCGCCTGGGGGGGGGGGGGATGTGGAAGGCATTCAGGCTTAATTCGGGGAACTGGAGCACAGATCCAATTCCCTAAATCAAGAGCCCCTCACCAACATCAAGGAACCTTCCTTGAGGGGTAGCATCTCTTATTAAATTCAAGGGGGGAGCACTAAACCCTTTTGGGGGTCATACAGTGCCTGGAGGAATAAGGCAAATTTATCTGATCCAAGGGAGGGGTAAACCAGGTCTAACTATTTGGATTAAGACTCAACGGTATCAAGGAACCTTCCTTAAGGGAGCGGCTACCAGCATCAAGTCCCCTTCCTTGATTATTATAATAAAAACTAGGCTCTGGCCTGGCTAGCAAAGCTCTTCTTTCACACGCTGAGGGCAAGGTTTCGATTCTTGACAGGGTTCACCTGGAGTTTACCAGGAGAGAGTTCCAGGGGTCAACGCCCCCGTGGCCCGGTCTGTGACCAGGCCTCCTGGTGGATCAGAGCCTGATCAACCAGGCTGTTACTGCTGGTGCACGCAATCCAATGTACGAGCCACAGCCCGGCTGGTCAGGTACCGACTTTAGGTGGAAACATTTCAACACGTTTCTTTACACCTGTTGTCCTGTTCACCTAGCAAGTAGGTACCCGAGTACTCACCTATTTGTGGTTGCAGGGGGTCGAGTCACAGCTCCTGGCCCCACCTCTTTGCTGATTGCTACTAGGTCCTCTCTCTCCCTGCCCCATGAGCTGTTAGTCAATTGGTGTAGGTCACATCCTGGGAGACAAGATTGAGGACCCCAATGGAAATAAGACACAGTCCCTTGATGACGCAGCCTTTCTTGGGTTATCTTAGGTGGCTAACCCTCCAGGGTTAAAAATCCGAACAAAATCTCATTTTAACTCGCCTGCCATGAGTTCGATCCCTACCTATGTTGTTGTTTGTAAGTGATAAATCCACAATCCCTTGAAGGGGCCAGTTTTCCCTATTTAAAAAAAAAACTCTGTACATGGTACCCTGATTATCATCATCATTTGGATACCCCGAGAAAGGGGACACCCCACAATGAGTCTCAGAACTTACTTTCTTCCTTAAAAGGCTTCTCATGATAACTGGAGAACATCTCTGACTGGCATGTGCCACTTTACCAGATGTTCATCTGCAATCCTACTTTGTCTTTTGCATACTTTCCCCTCAAGGGAGGTTCCTTGATGCTGGAATTGGATCTGTGCTCCAATTCTCTGAATGCATTCCATCCCCACCCCTACAGGAGTTGTATAATCCCTACAGGTTTAGCACTCCCCAGAATATTAAAAAAAATTTTCCATACTTCTGTCAACAGAATGGAAATAAGTCAGTCTGACTTTTTTGGGTTATCCTAGGTTCTCTACACATATGCTGCTATGTATGATAATTCTATGTAACTGTATTTGTGTATACCTGAATAAACTACTTACTTACTAACAGTAATGCTACCATACACTTTACCTGGTATACTCAACAGGCTTATTGCCCACTGTCTTTTATCTTCTTTCCCTATACAAAGGAACTATGTTTGCTCTCTCCCAATTCCTAGGTACCTTCCCCCCTCCCCCTTTTCATGAATATACTGAACAAATGCACAAACCACTCCCAAAACTATATTCCCACTTGCTTTTAACATTTCTGTCTTAATTCCATCTATCCCAACTGCTTTACCCATCTTTCATTCTACCCCATGCCTCACATACCTTCCCCACACTCATGTATGGCTGCTCCTTCTGATTATTATTATAATCAAAAAGAAGCGCTAAGCCACAAGGGCTATACAGCGCTGCTGCTCCTTCTGAAAGATTATATACTTCCCTGCCCAATGCAAGAAATCCATGCCTCCCTCTCTTCACTAGCATTCAACAACTTGAAATATTTCCTCTATCTTCCCAGCACCTGAACCTCCCCATCTAATGGCTCCCCTGTTTTGTTTTTAACTGTTAAATCCACTTGCTCCCTAAGATTTCTTATTGATCTCTCTCAATTTCTTATTCATCTTTCCTTTTGCCCTCCTTCATTATTTTTTTAATCTCTCCTTTACTCGTCATACACGTCACCCTCTATTATCAATTGTACATTGTAAAATCCTCTCGTATGCTAATTTTTCTTCCTTTATCACCTTTATGTAGTCATTCCACCAATCATTCCTCTTTCCTCCGGCATCTACCCTGTTGCACACTAACAGTGCATTCTTAAATTTGCCCCATACTTCTTTAACCCACACTTCATTACCTGTACTCTCTCAAATCTGCCTCTCTTCCAATAGTTATATGTATCTTATTCTATTCCTTTAATTTGTAAACTTTCATTTCTCTCTTACCTAGTGATGACATTCTCTTTGTACCCCTTCTACCTTTTTCCTCACTATATTATTATTATTATTATTATTATTATTAAAATAAAAGAGAAGTGCTAAACCACAAGGGTTATACAGCGCTGCTTTCCTCACTATAGCTATCACAAAACAATGTGGTATATTTGTCATGCAATATGTTGTGTATGCACATATTTCCCAATTTATAAAAAAGATTAAAAGTTGAGAGGTACTGTACTGGTTTCTGTACAATAACCAGAAAATGCTTCAACTGATTAACTTAAAGCTGTCAGTTCTGGAATCTTTTGCTGAAAGGAAAATCATTGTTATTGGGCTCTGATACCAATTTTATTGAACAAATTGAAATATATTTGTGCAATAACTGGAGAGTGCCTCTTCTGATCAGCTTCAAACTTTAACACAGGTGTTTCATATTTAAGGGAAGGTTCATATTGACTGTGTACATTCAAAATTGCCAGTTTTATTGAACGAATTGACTTTTGGGCAATTACTTAAGAATATTTCTAAAACTTTCAATACTAGTGTAAAGTAACTCCCATTTTTATTGGGCTTTGTAGGTGCCAATTTACCAACTGGGAATTATCATACATACATATATACAATACATACAAACCAAAAATAATGAAAACTCACTTAAATATTTTTGTTTGACTGGGTTGAGTTCCAGTTACTGAAACTGGTAGCATTTCTTTATAACTCCTCCCCTCAAGGAATGTTCCTTGATGCTGGTAGGGGCTCTTGATCTAGGAAATTGGATCTGTGCTCCAGTTCCCTGAATTAAGCCTGAATACCTTCCACATCCCCCCACAGGCGCTGTATAATCCACCGGTTTTAGTGCTTCCCCCTTGATTATAATATAATCTTTATAACTCCTGGGTCATAAAGTGGTATACACCCCCTTTACAACTTGAGAGTTTCAATTATTACTATAATAAAAAACCAAACACTAAACCCACTAAAGTCATACAGCTGAGACTTTCAAGGTACTGTTACTAGGCCTCTTGTGTGGTTTGAGGTATAAGAGGGCTGGAAGTATGTCATACTAGGGATATTCCTCTAACTGCACAGTAACAAAAACAAGTTTAATTATATTTGCAGGAAGTGTCTGGGGAATATATTGTTCACAAGGGAGCACTAAACTAAGTAGGCCATAGCCTGAGGAATGGGAGGTAATCAGTTTGATACAGAATGTCATTTTATTTCCATTTTTCCTCTGAAAACTAGAAATATGTATTATTATAATCATAACAGAGCACTAAACCCTTAAGGGCCATACATTATTATTATAAGGGAGCACTTAACCCATAGGGATTATACAGTGCTCATGAGGGGGAAGGGAACGGAAGGCATTCAGGCTTAATTCAGGAAAGTGGAGCACAGATCCAATTCCCAAGATGAAGAGTCCCTCACCAGCATCAAGGAATGCAAGGGTCATACAGCACTGACCAGAAATAAGTATGTAGTTGTATGAGATAGACAAGGAGAAAAGAGGGGGGCAGACCTCACTACATGGTCTGAATTGCCACACAAATAAGAAGGTCGAGTTTGGAAGGTCCCTATGAAGGTCTCATCGATCTAGTTGTGTGACTTGACGAGTCTCATACAAGGACTCATTTGGAATCCTACAAACTAATAGATGGGCTTACATATTTAAGCCCCTGGTGAGAGGCTCTTCAACCAGGAAATCTGACCTCTCCTTTCCTCTCTTGAACTGAACCATGATTGTCTCCCATTACCCCAGGATAGGGGCAACTCCAAAATTTCCAGAGAGGGACTTTGGGGTGACAGTGGTTGGAAGGAGGGGGGGGGGGGAAGGGAATCTTAACCCTTTGAGGGTCGACAGGCCCTCTCCGAAACTCGTTCTCAGGGTCGGCCAAATTTAAAAAAAAAAAAATTATTTTCTCTTACGAAAAGATAGAGAATCTTTTCCCGATCATAACGACACCAAAAGTTTGAAATTTGATAGAAAACTTACGGAATTATGCTCTCGCAAAGTTAGCGGTCTC